AAGAAGGTGGTTAAATGTGAATCCGCAATAAGTAAAAATGTCCGAAAGTCATTTAAAAAATACCACGCGATAAAATTACGCAAGTTTACCACAATTTGCATGAGCGACCTGTGTAAGTTGGGAGAAGACTATCAAGTAGGCAGAACAAAAATAAAATAAAATGTAATGAATTTTATCCACATTAAAAAGACCTAGTTTAAGTGTAAGCTGGTTTAGCCCAACTGCGGTGAAGAAGCATCATGAATGCGACATCTGCCTCAGCATGGGGCACACATACATACATGGCTGGCGGCATCCGGTTTCGGATTTGCCTGTCACTGTGGCTAGGTGGATTTTTCTAGTGATTGACACGCCAAATCCCTAGTGGTTTCAATTTACCACATTCGTTTTACTCCGTTATCCAATTGATGAGGCAAACCTCAAAAACGGCCAACGTAGCTAGCGCACAATCAACCGTGCCGAACGAAACAGAGTCTATTGAAGAGAAACGCATTATCCACTTCAATCAGTCACGTGCGCCATTTTGAAATGTCCAACAGTCCTGAGTGAAAACCAACAATTGTGAACATAGGGGCAGCTATGCGAAACTGAGCAGGGAGAAAGACCCCAAAATGTCATTCCTCAAATCAACATCGCATTGTACAATCAATATCCGCGGTTAACGGGCGGAAGTGGGACTAGTACAGTAGGTGTATGAAGGCCGCTTGACGGAACCTCTTGAAACGTAAAACCAGAAGCAGTTGACTGTCACTGAGGTGGAGTAAGCTGGGAATCGATGATCGAGTTAGAGGCGCTCCTTGTGTAACCGGATTGAATTCGCCATCACTGGGCTGGTTTTCTCTTGTTCGTGTAGGATCTAATGATTTAGTAGAACCTGTCGTTGGGCCACTAGAAGTCGTTTGATCATTGAAATAGGCTGAGATCGGAGTATTCTGCAGGCAATCTGAACAATATGACTGACCGGCTCAAACGCAGTTCACGAGGTTCCACATCGCCATGTCGAATGTAGTGAGCTAACTTTCCATTTAAGTGCCCGAGCATTAAAGGTCAAATGAGGAAGAGAAACCATGAAAAGTTTACAAATGCTCTTGGCTCCTAATAACCGTGCAGTAGGCTTCGATTCACGGAACATTTTACTGTTCCCTAATTATACATCAGTAGTTCGTGGTGCCTCGTGAATGTCAGGTGCCCAAGTTCTACGAGATATGAAAATGAACGAAACTGAACAATGAATTTATACGGGTTAAGAAGCACTGCTTTACAATTCCTGTTGGGCAGTTTGGTGGGGATATTAAAAGAATAATAATAAAAGTTGGTATTTTAAATATCAAAAGGACTTTCCGTTTGCCCCGCCGTAGTCCTGCAATCCGCGTAGAGCCACAGTACCCACACTTAACATTAAATAATTCTATAGTAAACTCCAGGAGTAGGATGGAGATGTAGTGCTAAGTAACAAAGGGTAAGTGGATGAGTACGTCTTATAACTGTCGTTTAAATATCGCTACTGTCGGTGAAGAAACGACCGATTCGGGAGAGTATTCCACAGGTGACATATACGAATGGAAAAGAAATTTCTGCGGCACTCCAGACGGCTGTATTGTTTCACGAGTTTTAATGAGTGACCTCTCAGGTTTGTATTGCAGCTGGGTTGCCGTAACGAGCGGCACATATGATGTGGGTCGTGCAGAATCAAGTATGCCATAATCAGACTGGCTCGTAAACTGCGATGGTGTCCACTGAATACCCCCGGTTGTTGTTGCATCCTCTGTTCGTATGAAAGATTGCGAATTCCAATTATTTACTTAGATCCCCGACGTTGAAGCTGCTCCAGTGTATTAAGGTCATGTTTCAGCCATGGATGCTAGGCTCGAATTGCGTAACCGACATGGCGGCGAACATAGGCGTTGAGCATATGTCGAAAAAAAGCTGCTTATTTTCCGACATTCGATCTATCCACCTTGTTAAGAATGCCAATCCGAGTCTAGGCGCGGAATATTCGTCCACCAAAAGGGCCAATACCAGTTCCGTGTTAATGGTATCATTTCACGTTGAGTTAGCTGCCTAAGCTGCAGTCGAAAGGGTACTACACAACTAAAAGACTAGGCAGTTCAGATGCTCATGTTCTAGTACGCCTTCCACCTGCAAGAAGGCCGATTTTAACACGCAATAGATAAGTGTGTGAGCTACCCTCCCGACACGAAACCCTAAGCGACTACTTGGACGACAAAATCACCAAAGATGCAGATAAGACAACTTTACACAGAAGCTCAACATACTATGCGAGTGAAGCAGAAGCGTCGAAAAGTACGGTTCACAAGTGTAGCTATGATTTCCAAGGCCTAAGAGTGAGTGCTTCTTGTTTTCCAGATTCCAATACGTTTCGGAACATAGCAAATGTGCCGCTATTAACAAGAGTGATACCTATGCTATCACGAAAATAAATTGCTCTTTCAGCAATCATACGTCAATCGGCGCACTTAATACAACCATCCACATAGTCTTAAAACAATAGTAAGGGAAGTTGAATGGGGCAAGTTCGTCAGACTTAGACCCGGTCATATAGTAATCACACGCCCGGAAAGGCACTGTGCAGCTGTTTCATCCTTTCGGGAATCGTCAGCAGTGCGCATTCTGTCTGGCTCTCGTGGGGCTAGAAATCGCAACCCGACTGTTACAAGTCCGTGGTTAAAATCCCTGTTTATAATGCTGAAAGTGAATTGGCGGCTTAAGTTTGGTAGGTTCGTCGCTTACCTGTCCTCCGCACGGCAGTTACGTGCAAGTCAGTGAATAGTGAGCAGTGCTGTAACACATCTAGTAACTTAGTCACGGCTGCCGTTACCGTAGCCTAGTGGCTTTCCCCACGGATTGGTAACAGTCGTGTTGCGGTTTCTAGCCCCAAAGAGGCCAGATGGAATGCGCAATGCTGAGGGTTACCCAAAGGGTTAGACAACTGTACAGTGCTCTCCAGGGCGTGTGGTGGTTGTCTGAGTCTATTTGTGTTGAACTTCACCTAGTCTCAAAAAGAAATGTGCATCAGTCCCATGACACGTCAATTTGACCACTAATAACCCGTTTTCGGTCATCTATCAAGATTTTATGGACTAGGTGCATGGAGATTCCAATCGCCTTAGCAAAGTGGGAATGCTTTTCTCCGGTCCTTCCATCACTCTCAGTGAGCTCTAGCGAGTTGTAGACCAAATTGAGAGAAAGTAGCCTTCTTAGAAACCAGTGAACAGTTGACACTACAGACAAGTTTGACCGCGCCAATTAAACAGATCTGATCAATCGTCATCGCATTGTGGGTTGTGTGAATTCCACAAACTGTCCCTTACTTCTTCATTGTTTCAGATTAGTTGTAAGTCCATTCCTAGGAAATAAAGTTCGTTCAGTTAGGCCAAACGTACCCTCCAGTCCGCATGTAATAACCGGTGAAAGTAAGTCGCATCATCACTGTGACAGCAATTAGGAAATTAAAACAGGCTCAAATAACGCTTCGTGATGGGCGACGTCGCGCACATTAATTTCACAGCAGAGCTAACGACTAGAGCTGAAAGCAAGGGCATGGAAAGCGTGTGTACCTCAAGAACAACTGGCTCGTGCAGCGTTAGTGAAATACGAAGCACCGTCTTACACAACTAAGCAACAACTGTGACTTCGTGATGAAGCGTGTTATGCCTCCCGTTGTACTCAATCGAGTGTCATTGATTCCCTGTGGTGTGGGCTATGTTTGAAAGACGACGACGTCTTTATAGTGCCCGTAGTTTACCATCTCCCAAATCCACTCCGTATATGGACCAGAGTAATATCACGGTTCGGTGCACTGCGATGAAATGGAAAAGAAGCCATACCCTCATTACAGGTTGCTTCACTATGTATGATCTGGAAACTTCAGTAACCAATAATAAACAGTCTAAAGCCTATCTGTAAGGGATAATCTCTAACACACCCTAGCACAGTCACGTCCCCGTTCCCATCAGGTTCGGAATGGCGAATAACCCGTCGATGCTAGACCTAGTGCTCACCAGTGAGGAGCTCATTGTTGATGAGTTAGATGCATGTAGTCCTTTGAGTCGTAGCGACCATGTGATTGTAGTGCTTAATTACATTTGCTACGCTGATTATCCAGATGTCAAGCGGGAACGAATGCAGTCAAAAGCACACAGTGTTAGTTGAAGACGTTAGTTGGACATTCATGACCGAGTGCATCCCAGAGATAGCGCAGGAAGTACTGTAAAAAAACCGCGCCACTGATCGAAAAAGAATCAGCGCCGAAAGCTTTCCATCGTCCCCACAAATCGAAGTCGTTCTTGAGAAGCAAAGCAGGAAAATGAAAGACTCTAAGTGATCTGACATGGAGCGTTAAAAAGGGCTCTCCCAACTCAGAAAACCTGACAGGTTACCTAGCTTAACGAAACCACTGTGTGCGATTGGTTCGTGAAGATAACCTAACACACCAACAGGAGCCGCTGAATTGGTCATACACGAAACACAAGCTTCTTTTTCAGACAGGTCAATAACCTTCGTAAAGTGGAGCGTGGAATCCTGCCACTCATTGTGGAACTGGAGAAGCGACCAACACCTCCTCATTCACCTCCCTACCAAGGAATACAAGACTAGAACACTATTCCTGTTAAAATCATCCTGCTTTCAGAACTAATTCTATTTTACCGAAGCGACTTACCTTGCCACGCCATGGAGGATTCAGGCTCGCAGTTTCGGATTCCCTTTGGTGCCGCCTGAGCCAAAAAGTGGAGACACTTTCCCCATCTATTCTGTGTACTCCCACAAACAATGGAACAGTGGATTTATCACGGTCAAAAAGGAGGATGTCTAACAGCTTTCCGTGAGTAAAGAATGGGACCAAAAATTAACGTGTCCGAAGAAAAACGCATGGCAGTAGACTAACCGCAAATTTCACATGTACACATAGTTTGGTTATGTTGTCCCGTGTCTCAGTATCTTGGGTTAAATCATGTAATGCATGTGGTGTAATGTACTACTAAATTGAGCTTTGAATACAATTATCGTAGGAGCGGATATGATAAGAGGTGGAAGTAAGTTTCACGTTTGGAATACACAAATGGAGATGTTGCGGCGGCATTCCAAATGGCCATAATGTGTGGCCAACTTCAAATGGTGCCCCCTCTCAGTGATGTATTGTGTCTGAGCTTCAATAAGGGTCGGCATTGGTGGTTGGGATCCTTGAGAATCTCATGCACCAGTATGAAGTTATCTCGCAGAAGACGATATTGTTCACTAAATACTCCTAGAGTATTTAGTCTAAACTGGTAAGGGAGGTAGGACAACCACTTAAGCACTTTTGTCGCCCTCCGTTGCGGATTCTTAAAAGCAGTGATGTCATAGTTTTGCAAGTGTGTCACATCTTGATGGCGTATTCAGCACGTGCCCTCCCGTAAACTTTGAGAAAAGTGGGATCAAACCGACCAAACGCACTTCGCAGTAGGCCCAAGTGTTGGCTGGCTTTCTCGCCGAGATTGTCCTGCACAAGCACCCTAAGATCGTTCTCATGAAAGTGTACTACAAAGCGTTCTCCCGGTCGATAATCGTAGGTACTCTGGTGGCGTATGCTCATTATTTTACACTTGACAGAGTTTTACTGAAGCAAGCTTTGCGCCGACCACTCACATGACCTGTCGAGACCACCTTGCAGTGTTGTGTGGTCGTTCACTAGGTTGATTGCCCTCCAAATCGTGAGATGGTTTGCAAAGAGTAGCAACCTCGATGTCAACACTAATGTGAGGTCCCTTATGAACAAGGGGAACAGCCATGTTCCTATTACTGTGCCTTGAGTGACGTCACTTTGGATTTCTATCGGGTTGCAAAAAGACATACGAACTCGCCTATTCAAGTCGTTAGAGTAGGAATGCGTTCAATTCAGGACAATACAGGGTAACTGATTCCTTAGCTCTGAAGCATGTGAACAAGAATGTGGTAATCAAGGCGATTAAAAGCTCGCGGGAAATCAAGGTACGCAGCGTCGACACCTTCCCCAACATCGATGGATTACGTCCACCTGGCACGTGCTAAAAAAGAAGTTCGTGGTACATAAACGGTGTTGGCGCCATTCATGTTGCGCACCTTTCTAAAATTCCCATGAGAGTAACTGCAACGACAGGAAGTCGAGTAACCCAGCGGTATTTTTCGGATACTGCTTGCCTCACTTTTAAATTGTGGTGACTATTCCATGCTTCTAAATAATTAGGACCAGAAGCTCGTCGAGATAGCGCTGGAAAAGCCGAGATTACGGTTCTGCCAAGCTGCTGATAGCTATGGTCGAAGATTTAAGGCCGAAGTTATCCGGACCAGGTGAACTGTGTGATGGTAGTATCAGATCAGTGAGCAGATGGACCAACCGAGCGAGCCAGACGGCCAATGGGAGGCGGACGTGACGGATTCGATTACTGGATTCGGATTGGCCCATATGCGTGTGAGTGATTCACCGTTTGTTGAACTGAAGCAAAGGAGGAACCTCATCGACCCAGAAGGTTAGTTAGCTATGGACATGAAGCTGCAATTTAGCTCGAGGAGTTTGGCTTGCTAAACATGCTGTGATTTTCGCTGAGCTGTCTTTGCTGAATAAACGCTTGTTTCTGAAGGACTGAGTTTTGCAACATGGTGTCAGAGAAGACAAAAACGAACCATACGGGCGGCGCGCGGACGATGCTTGGATCACCAGCGTCTATTCAGATGCCTGCCCTACTGAACATGGATGAGCGGAAGTTGGCGAGTAATTGGCGTCTATGGAAGACGTAGTGGGAGGATTTCTGCACATTAGTACGTTTGGACGAATAACCGATGACGTATCGCTTGACCATGTTTTGACACGCAGCCGGGGATGACGCGCGCCGTGTTCTAGAGACATTGCACTACGACAAAGCCGAAGATCCCAATAATTTGGAGACGGTCACTGGAAAGTGCAGTGAATTTTGTGAAGTTCAAACCAACGAGACCTACCAGCGCTATCCTTTCATTTCATGCAACAGAGGCCCAAACGAATCAGTTGACATTCACATCACTGAATTGAAGATTTTGGTCCGATCCTGCAACTTCTGTAAATGCATGTGCGACAGTCATATACGCGATCGGATCGTTCTAGGAATCAATGATGAAAGGACGACAAAGCGGCTTTGCGACAACGCAACTTATCACTCCAGCAGTGCATTGATATCTGCAACATTGAGTCCTCAACCACCTATCAATACCAACAAATGAAGCTCGCAACTGATGCAGAATTGTGTGCCGTTTCCGGAAGCGAAGCAGCGAAGGCCACTAACGAGATACAGGAGATCTGTAAATTTTGCGCCACGCGACATCCGAGAACCAGCGAACAGTGTCCGGCGTGGGGGCGGAAATGTGCCAGATGTGGAAGAAGAAACCACTTTGCTCGTTGCGGCCAATCAACCAATGTGAGTGCAGTCGTTCGTGAGAAGTCCCCCGCAGATGCAGAACATTCAATTGGCAACGAGTCTCTGAGGGTACCGCAAGTTGTGTCTACGCAAGTCTGTTGATCGAAGGCAAAGCCGTACGATTCCAGTTAGACACAGGTGCTACCGTCAACATTCTACCAAGGTAGCACTGCCACGGAGTGCGCATTCGATCCGATCAAGATTGCTTGCGTATGTAGAATGGTTCCAGACTTCATCCGAAGGGCTCAGTTACATTCGAAGTGGTTAACCCAAGAGACGGAGTCTCACATTGACTGGAGTTTGTGATCGTGGAAGAGGAGCTCAAGCCGCTTCTCGGCATTGATTCGATCCAGCCTCTCGGTTTGGTTGTTTTTAATCATGATGGTTTTTCTGCATGTTTGCCAGGGAGAAACCGCTATTAGTGACCAGTATCCGTCTGTGTTTAGCGCAGGTTTGGGAAAGTTTGAGGGAACTGCTCACTTGTCCTTAGATCCTTTGATACGACCGACAGCGCTACCGGCTAGGAGAGTTCCATTTGCACTGCGTGACAGGTTCTCCGCTGAATTGAGCAAATTAGTGAGAGGGTGTGATTGCCAAAGTCGACGAGCCAACCGACTGGGTTAGTCAGGTCGCAATCATTACGAAGAAGACAGGCGAACTGCGTGTGTGTATTGACCCAAAACCGTTGAATGAGGCCTTGCGTAGAGAGCATTACGCGCTACCTACCCTAGAAGACATTTTGCCGCGTTTGGCCAAAGCTAAGTGTTTCACGAAGGTAGACCTCTCTTCGGCATTCTGGCACGTGGTTCTAGATGATGAATCCAGTTTCCTTACTACCTTTGCAACACCATCCGGGCGTTATCGTTGGCTGCGTTTACCGTTTGGTTTGAAGGTGTCGAGTGAAATTTTTCAAAAGCGATTGGTGCAAGCGGTAGACGATTTAGATGGTGTAACATGCGTGGCAGACGATGTTTTGATCTATGGCTCGACAGAAGAAGAGCATGACGCTAATCTCCACCGTTTCTTGCAGCGTTGTATGCCAACGAACATCAAGCTTAAACGTGAAAAAATTGAACTTCGGAAAGGTGATTTTCCATGGGCATTTGCTAACAAGGGATCAGGGTCGATCCAGGAATGAGTAAGGCAATTCGAGAGATGCTGCTTCCTAACGACGTGAATGGAATGCATTGCTTAAACCGTATGGTGAATTACTTGAGCCGCTTTATGCCAAGACTCACAGATTACATGACGCCGATCAGGAAGTTAACTCACAAAGGAGTAAAGTGAAATAGGGGAAAAGAACATGGAACCGCATTTGAAACTATTAAACATCTCATCAGTAACGCGCCTGTACTTCGGTATTACGATAAAGCGCAGTCTTTGGAGGTACAGTGTGACAGTATCCAAAACGGAATAGGTGCATTTCTAGTACAGAATGGTAAACCTTTGGATTTCCGCAGTCGAGCACTCACCGTGACCGAACGGCGCTATGGGCAGATTGAGGAGATGCTTGCGGCGGTCTGTGCAATGGAGCGTTTCAACGATTACACGTTCGGAAGAGAGACAGCTGTGTACGCCAACCACAAACCGCGTGTGTCAATAGTCAGAAAACCGCTGCGCGTAGTTCCTCGTTAACTTCAACGTATGCTTCCCCGGCTTCAGACGTACGATGTGAATATTGTGTATACGTCTGGTGCACAGATGTTCATCGCGGATGCGCTGTCAAGAGTCCATCTGCCACTACCCGAGCATAATCTGGAAGAGTTCGAAGCAGTAAACTTAGTACAGCACCTGGTAGTGACAGATGATCGCCTAATAGAAATAAGGCGCCACACACAGGAAGATGTAACGCTTCCAGCTTTACGAGACGTTCTTCTAAATGGGTGGCCAGAGACAAAGAAGCAGCTGCCGAAGGAACAAACACCCTACTTCAATTTTCGGGATGAACTCTCTGTCTCTGATGGTTTGCGGTTCAAGGGGAGCCGTATGCTGACTCCATCATCGGTCCAAGGAGAAATGTTGAAATAAGTTCATCGCGCTCACCTGGGCGAAAATTATGCCATTAACCGAGTAAGAGAAGTGATATTTCGGCCAAGAATGACGGGTCAAATAAAAGATCATGTATCGAATTGTGAGGTGTGCCGTTCACACGAAATCCGGCAGACGAGGGAACCAATGATGCTGCATGATGTCCCTGACCGACCGTGGCAGAAGGTGGCGGTGGATTTATTCAGTGATAACGGGGAAGATTACTTACTCACGGTGGATTACTATAGTGATTATTTTGAAATCGATCTACTCACCACTACGACCACAGAGGCAGTAATCAACAAGCTCAGATGTCAGTTCGCGCAGCACGGTATACCGGAGGAGCTGGTCTCCGACAATGGACCCCAGTTTACCAGCGGTGCGTTCCAGGCCTTCGCAACCAAGTGGAAATTCGTGCACCAGCACACTAGCCCTATATCATAGTCAATCGAATGCAAAGGCGGAGTCCGCAGTGAAGCGGCTCTTATCAAACTCTAGAGAAAATGGGGAGGACCCGTACCTCATGCTACTGGTGAGTCGCAACGCTCCAAAGAAAATTGGTTTGAGCCCAGTGCAGCGCCTATACAGCCGAAGGAATA